GTGTGTGTGTGTGTGTGTGTGTGTGTGTGTGTGTGTGAAAGAAGACTTTGGAGAAATAATTTTTGCAGTGTAAGAAAAAACTACACCATATCTACTCAATAAAAATGAGGCAACAGATTACAAGCAATGTTATTAATTAAATACTACAATGTTTGGAATTGAGTGAATATTAATTAAATGCAACTCTCAATAGTTATTCATTTAATATAAATAGATTTGAATAGAAAACAGTGAGTGGGTCTTAAAAAAAGTGTCCTCGCTGTGAATTTTTTCAACACATTTTTTAAAAATCAGACATTAAACATCCTGAATCTGAATCTGTGACCTGTCCGTGTTTGATCATGTGGGTGAGAAAAGGGAAACAAAAATAATAAACAAATAAAAAAATCACAGGATTACAAAGAAAGTTTCGGAAATGTTTATATTTAGAATATTCTTTAACATGGATTCTGAATGCGTCTCTTACTTGTGTAAGGTGAAACATGCATCATGTGTTCACTGTCCTTTTATTTCTTCAGGTTGGCTCTTCTTCCTTTTTACTTCTTGCCTGTTGCATAGTAAATCATCCCTCTTCCCCATCGTTTCTTGACTTTTTAGTTACATTAAATTGTAGAGATCTAAGGAAGGGAGGAGCGGTGTTGGTAAATGGAAAAGAGCAAAAATTGAGGATTAAATYGAGGGTTTGATCAAGGAAAAGAAAGGATAAAATCCAAAGGAATGAGGAATTTTACAGAAGTGTACAGTAACACGAAAAACACTCCTGTAGCTCTAGATCTGGTTCTTATTTACACACACACACACACACACACACACACACACACACACACTGAAACACAAGTCATACAGAAGTTTACGTCACTTTTCATAAACTGATTTCACAAAGTGTCATATTTTATCGTTGGGGGACAGACTTTGCAGTTAGAGTGGGAACTAACTTCAACACGGATATGTTGGAACAAACTTGGATCAGTACATTCATAATATCTGATAAAGTTTTTTTTTGTCAGCGTCGAAAACTAATCTTAAACTATTGGTACCAACAAATATTGGCATGCATATTAAAGCTCTGCTACAAAGTCTGTAGAGAACTAACCCACTGCACCATGGGGGGGAGGACTGAGCAATGAAACAGCTTGTTACACATAAACAGGACCTTATTTTTTGTCATTTTTTTGCATCAATTTGGAAGACAAGATATGCTTAAGACTAGAGGACTAGTTTAGACAAGATGTTACAAATCAGGGCTGTAGTTCCAAAAAAAAGTTTCCTTTCCTCCCAAACTGAAGCCTGCACAGACACGTGTGACGTGCTGATCCTACAGCGTGTTCATGATGTCACTCTGACATACTGAAGAGAAGGGCATCAGGTAAACAAACACACTCTTTATGATCAACAAAGGACAAGTGTTTCTGATGTTTAAGTCGTGTGGAAACCGGTCTCAAGTGTCCCAGTAATTCCAGTCATCTACAGGTTTTAATTTCTTTTCCTCCTTGTTTGTTTGTAAGAAGTCTATCAGAGGATTTATTGACGACATGCTGCAGTTTTTGACTTGATGTGGTGGGGTTTTTTCCCCCCACAGGTGGGTTCCTTGATGAAATAGATGTGCCTGTTTTGGATCTGGATCGTGGTCTCGCCTGCGGGCTCCTATTGAACCCACTGGGATTCTCCTCAAACTTGGATGACAAACTCCGGGTTGGTGTAGGAGAAACCCTGGAACTCGTTCTGGTCCAGGTTCATGATGAAGAGTTTGTCCGTGGGCGTCAGCTCCACCGGCATCTTTGTGAACTCCTTGTCAAAGTTCCCGACGTCTCGGCGKGTTTTCTGCGATGGAGAAGAGGAGAAGTGAAAGGAAAAGAGTTAAAGAGAAGAAAGGTACATGACATAGGGGGGATACGTAAGTTAAAGTAGCAGAATCAGACCTTTTGAAGTGGGTTTGTGGAAACGTTTTGRCCTATTTWAGTTGTTGACAGCTCTTTGAATGACCTCASTTTGCAGAAATTGTTTAATTCTGACCAGCTAATGGCTAGTCCAAGTGGGTRGATGACTGTTGTCTTGGAAAATACTCCAATCTGTGGTTCATTCAAACTGTACTGTAAGCASTTACTATGTTGTCAAGTTTGAATTTCAAAGGTTTTTTTGTTTGTTTTTCCACACAGAAATTTATGGTTATTTGCCAGCTTGAACTTTGTAACAGGAGGGATTTTTCTTTCCTTTTCTTTTTTATTTATTTTTTGCCAGAACAATTTAATTGTGCGTAAGTTTTGGAGTTTAAAGGTTTGTAAAATAGCAATTGCATAAACCTCTTCAATACTTTTTGAAGACAGCAGCATGTATTTAGTTCACCAATCAGGTCAGAATTAAACTATTTCTCCAAACTGGTGTTGTTTAATAGTTTTATACAGCAGGTAAGACATTTACTATTTTTTTTTACCTTTCCACAAAACCCTAAATGGTCTAGATGATCATGTTAACTAGTTTTGTTAAAGCACATGGATGAGGGATAAAGGAGGAGGCCAGAATTTGTAGCACACCTAAAGACAAACAATTAACAACCTGTTTGTAAAAGAAAAAAAAACCTGGAAATTCTGAAATTTGTGTTTCTAACACACTCTTTGTAAAAACAACTTAAACATAACGAGCCTGAAAACTACTTCCTCCCTGTGAGCAGTTCAGCAGTGTTTGAGTCAAATATGGTTTGACTATTTTTTAGAGCTTGAGAGATGTATTTCATCCAGCCCAACGGGTCCGGTTTATTCTGCGAACACAAAGGACATAAGGCCATTTTAATGCATCTGTTTTATTATAATTTTTAACACGATCTTGTCCATATAAGCACCTTTTAAAATCTATACTTATAACTTGTAAAAATATCATTTAGAACTTAAGCAACCACTGTTGCTTTCATCAGTAAACATCAATTTCTGCAGGCCATCCCGCACACACCTAAATGCATTACAAGTGAACACATCGATGCTTGAGATGTTGAATATTTTTATAATAAATGTGCAGTTTGTTGTTATTACTGTGATTAGGTTGTTGTAAGGTCAAGCTCCTGAGGTCCATCTAGTTACACGTTTCACACTGATACAACACAGAATCTGAGCTTTCCTCGTTTGTGAACTGAGACCTGGATAAGTGAGGTCATATCCCCTCCTTCGATGATGTCATTTCAAGGAGGCGTGACTCATTTCTGAAGAATATTAATAAAAGCTACTGTGTTGTGAAAGAACAGTGCCAATTCTAGTGACAAGTGCTTGGCCCAGGTTTGTAGAGGTTGTGATAACCTGTGACGTGCAATTAAATGCTCCAACTTTGAATCTGTTTCCTGTGCATAATTCAGGCTTGTACTTTGAATTTTGAATTCTTGTATTACATTTTGAACAGTTTTAAGTCTATATTAATGTTGAGCTTTTATCCAGTTTGATACATAAAAAATATAAACGTTCCCCTGTATGAAAACAGTTCAATAACTAGTATGGACCGATTCCAAACAAGCCTGAGTGGACCAGTTTAACAAGAGCCGAACAAACACTGCAGACAAACTCAGGAAACAAACACTGAAAAGACAGAAGAGCCAAACAGAGTCAGCTGCACAGACACACAAAGACCCAAGACAAACTCTGAAAGCCAATAAAAAGCAAGAGAATATTCCAGTATAAAGCAGACAAGGATTAGTACCAAACCGCCACCAGAGAGGACTTTACACAGGAAGGTGAAGCAGCAAGGCCCCAATAAGACACACACACACACACACACACACACACACACACACACACACACACACACACACACACTTTGGAGTTTCCTACCTCCTCCTTTGGTCTCATCACAGGGCTTCCAGCTGAAAAGAGGAGGGGCTGGAAGCGTTTTCACCCATAATTCAGCTGGTTGTTGTGCACAAAGCAGGTTTTATCTTGTTTGTTAGTGTTGCGCAGAGGAGTTTCTTTTAAAAACTGAGCAGTCGGCAACAGTAAGCCATGCCTCAAAAGGTGAATAAAAATGAACCCATACGTCAAAGTGACGGTTAAACGTTTTGTAACAAGAGTAAGCAGGCGGACACAGCGTGAGTAGTCTGGTAGGCACCAGTGAGTATATTATCAGTTTCCAGTCATACAAAGCAATAACACAGTCCACAGTAGCATCTCTCCCATCCACATACAAATTATCCAGTTATTTCTCTGATACACAACTTATTATATATTATAGATTCATCCTCAGAGTTTATTTCTCATGACCATCACAGTAAGTGCTCGCTGCTTTTATCTGACAGAATCGTTGTCTTTAAAAGGACATTTCCATCCTGCCGCCGCGTTTTTGTGATACAAGCTCAAAGAACAAGATTTGACACATTACCACCTTGCATCGTTAACACAGTTACAAAAATATTATACAACTCAGACAATTCATCTCRTATATGAAAATGACTTTCAAAGGGGATAGGGCGGGGTATTATATTATTGGTGAACAGAAAGGATCAGCTAAAACGCATATTGTTGATAATCGTACATGTACAGCAAAATGGCACAAGATGGCTGCCCGTCTTCACAGTTTGTAGGAGCAGGATTTGTCTACATCCTCGTGATTCTGAACCTTGTTTTGGCACTTCTGGAAATCCTGTTTCTGTAATCTAACTAACTACTGGGTCCACAAGACTCTGAATGAAATAAGCCATCAGGAAAATTCTCTACAAACGTCTTTTACAAGCAAATAGATATGGTCTCTGTCAATAAAAGTAGAGTAAAATGGAAACATATGTTCTGAAAAACTACATTTCATGAAGGCAGGGGGGCAAAATCTTGCAGATTTCATGTAAGAGATTATAAATCAGAGAGAAAAAAAAGTTCACCATAACACTGAACAGATTTTTAAGTATTTGATACTACAGACAAAAGTAAAGCCAACATTTGGGAAACTGATTAGTATTCAAACAATTATAGCAAAGCAATGGGTCAGTTTTTCACGTACACGTTATGAAACACCAACATGTGATCATAATACACTCATCAACATCACTGACGGGTCGTCAAAGTCAAAATGCAGGTACAGGGAGGGTGACAGAGACGGTTCACTGTGGCACCAAACCTGCTGGTGTGAGCAGCCAGGAAGCATTCAGAGGCATGAAACATTTMTCCACAAGAAGACAGAGATGAACTGATAAAACAGCAGCTGTTATGTTCTTATCTAAAATGATCCCAGAATAAATTTAATGGAGCACTGACAAAAATATACAATAATTTCAACTGATCGCAGCTCCATCTCATCGTTATTTAATAATTGTGACCATTGAGTTATAAAAATTATTCGCTTTCTTTCCAAAAGCACGAAGAATCACTTTTCCGGAGCCTGAAGCTGATGAAGCTGTGGTGAAAATGAACGACTAAAGGACAGCCAGCTAAAGACAGCTAATTACATTCATCTATAATCTTAGGTTTGTATTTTTTTGAAATGGAAAAAGTAAAAATAGATGTGAACACTGACAACCTTTTTAAGCTTTCCCTGGATTCATCCAAATGGCAATTTCTATTAACTAAAATAGATCAAATTAGAAATCACCGCACTGCAGTTTTTGTTTTGTTTATAAATCACAGCTGCTCAGAAACACTAACCCCTCTGTGGAGGAGTGATTGATCCTAGTTAAGTGTGCTGAGATGAACAAAATAAAACTACAAAGGCTTATAAGAAGGTTAAAAGGAATATGACAGCTTTTACTGTATGAATGTATCCTCCTTTCATTGTTTATCTTAGTTCTGAAGCAGGAAAGCAACAGAATTACAAAGTAGCCTAATGATGTCATCAGCCATGGTAAATCCTCAAAACAGAAGCCTGAGCTGCACTCACTGCATGTTGATAGTTTCATCACTAAGCTGCTGTTCAGCGTTGGTGCATTTATCTCACAACATGCTAATGCAGCAGTTTTCAAACCCTTTCTAGCGTCATGCTAAGCTAAACTAAGCTACGATTCCACAGYTTCAGTTCCATATTCTGACAGGGTGTTATAGCTCCACCTTGTACATTTTTGGAAAGAAAATGATTGAGTTTTATTTCTCAAAATGTCCAAATATTCTTCAAGACTTGAACCACAGAAAATGCCCCCGTGTTGCATCAGCTCCTACTGGATGAAAGTTTCATCTTGCTGAATGCAGCCTGGAAATGACACCATGATGACGCTTTTTTATTTATTTTTATCTGTAAGGTATGCTTGTGAACTGTACGTGATTACTAATGCAGCCCAGGGTTGTGTCACATGGTCAGGGAGTTGGGTGAATGTACTCGGGGTTAACAAATGAGAAGCCTCGGAACTCTTCCTGGTCCAGGTTGGATATGAGCTCCTGATCTGGGGGGGTCAGCTCTGGGGGGTGGCGTGTGAAAAAGCGATCAAAGTTCTCCGCATCACGCCCACACTGCCATGGAGAGGAGAGACATGGAGGGATGGAGTGAGTTTGATGAAGGGTGAAAGGAAAGTGGGGATGCGGGGGTTGGGAGAACAACAAAAAAAAGGACAACAACGACAAAAAAAGAGAAAAAAGAGAAATACAACTAAAACATGGTATCAACCAATCAAATCGCTCACAGCTAAAATAACTGTGGAATTCCATTGGTCCAAATGAAAGCAGTGACATCTCAGCTTCATCATTGGTGACTACGCTGACAACACGTCTCAGGTCTGCACGTGTCAGAGTAGTGACCAATGGGAGGGGATGGTTATGTTTCAGTGATGAGCGATTAAATCAATCCTGTAACTTACCTTCAGGGTTTGACTAACGACAGCTTATTGTGAGTCATTTCTAAGGCAAACATGTGGAACTGGATGGGATTAATACGTGTGTGATATACTCACAGCTTTAGGTTTGAAAGGTGGCTGGACCTCTTTGTTCTGTAGCTTTTCCCAGTCTATATAGCGGAAGAAGGCGTGCTCCTTGATGTCTCTTTCTCCTTCGGGACCACAGCCAAGACGCTTACCTGGATGTTTGGTCATCAGCTGAAAATCACACACACATACATGTCTGTTTATACTTTACAGTCACAATCACTTTGATTTGTTTCAACTACACCCCCGTTGATCATGTTTTTAATGGTTTACAGCATAAAAATGCTCAAAATACTTCAACTGTAGACTTTTTGGGTTAATTATACACAGTGTCAGTTTTGCTGCAATTTATTGGTTAAGACAACTATTACTTAATAATATAATGTAATCATTAATGCTTGATGTTCATTTTTCACCTTTTGCATACACAAGTGCGTGGTTTTTTTGAATTCCTTGAAGAAATGTCTTTTTAAGTTTTAAACAAGGATTTGGTCTGATCTGAAACAGACACTGTGAGACCACAGACTGGACCACAAGATCTCAAAATCAAAACAAAAAACTGTAACTGCACATTCAATGCACGTGTATTTGCAATTCTGGCATTGTTGCACACATTTTATATCTGATTTTCTTTTTTTGCTGTAATTTTTTTGTAATTTTGTAATCTTGAGTATTTGTTTTATCTATTTTTTGGATAGACCGGGACCTTGGGTACAGAATTTCGTTCCACCACATGCATGTATTGTGTGTTGCGAATGACAATAAAACTTCCTTGAATCCTTGAATTTGTTAGCAACTACAGTATGTGTTGGGGATGACTCCCAGCAACTACCACACCAAACTGCAGTTCTATAGCTGGAAAACTGACTTGATTATAGCCATTGTTGTTGGCTAGCTGGAACCGTTTTTGACACGAGATAAATGGTTTCAACAGCTGGCTCCTTGTCTACGTCTCAGACTTGGCACCACTTTAGACGCTTCTGTCTCYTGCTTGTCAGGGATCAGTTTCCATGGTTAAATTACCACACAGACATGAACATTTGCTAAGAGATGAACGAGATAAAAGTTTATTTATAAAGCACCTTTCCATAGATGTAAAATCACAAAGTGCTTCACAATAAAAGCAAGAAAAGAGGCATTTATTGTAACATAAAGGAACAGCCTCCTCTGAATTACGCTAACCATTGAACTTCATTATTTTTTCCCTACGAATGATTGTGTTCCTGTGAAAATAGTTGCTTTGCTTGGGGAAAGTGTGAGATGACAAATGATAAAATATTTGGTGTGATGTGTTTAGTTACTTGTTTGCTTTCTGTCGTCGCTGCTGCCTTCCTGCCTGTGCATTCGCTAAACTGAACAGAGCGATCTCTCACTGACCAACTCAATGCTGATTGAACATGCTGAACAGTCTTTTGACTGCATAAAAAGGGGTGAGTGGGTTAACAGATGCTCACTGATGCTCTCCACAGGCACATTTTTAGCTTCAACTATAAAAGCCCTCTCTGTTTGAAAAAGAGTTATGAATGCTATTGACCGCAACGTTTGACTGAAAATCTGACAAATGACCTCCTCCGACAAGTGACCACTGTACTGTGAAAACATTGTAAAACACTATTTTTTATGTTTTGCTTCCATGGTGCCAAACTTTATTGTAATCTTTTAAAGAGGTCTGGATTGGTCGTTGTTTAGGTTATTTGTTGGTCTTTCTGAGGGACTTTGGTTTATTTGTCGCTCAGCTTCTGTCCTGTTCTTATACTTCACCATTCAGGCTTAATGTGAGGCATGATATATAAAAAAGTAGACATGCAGAGGGGATAATAAGCATCAGACCTAACAAACTATCTGAAGAAAAAAAATCTACAAAGGTTGTGTCTTTAAAGGGATCCCTGATTAGTTGTAACATTAGACTTTATTTAATAAACATATATTTTAGCTGTAAAATAAAGACTGTAAAAATACTGTAGGATGTTTAGTTTTGTAAATTTTTTAAATATATTTTAACACGGACGGGGACATTTTATTTCCACACAAAGCATTCTGGGTAAATGATGACGTGAATAGGTATTGGTGCGAGGCTGTTAGCGAGCTATATCCACCCTGAAGGTTAATCT